CAACTATCACTTCACCTGTATTAGGAACTGAAGTGTAGGTGGTTCTAATTTATAATCTTAAAAAGAGGCCAGAAATAAGAGTTACTATAGAAAAATAAGGAGCACTGATGGTGCTGTGGCTTATAAATCTGACTGCCAACCACAAGAACAGCTACTAGAGCCCACCAGTCACTCTGCAAAAGAAACATGATGTTTTCTGCTCCCATAAAGATTTACACCCTCAAACCCCATGGGGGAAATTCCACTCGCCCTACAAAGTTGCTATGAATCGTGATCGACTGACTGGTAGTGAGTTTAATACAACAAATAGAGATTCAAAAGCTCTATAACAAAAATGGACCTGCCAGAGGTCAAACCCCTTTATTAAAATATTCCAGTCTTGTTATAAGACGGTATAACTTCTCCACCTGTGTGCAGAACGGCTTACGAAGAAAAGTTAGAACATATCTTATAAAAAGCATGGTGTCAACTTCATCTCTGAAGCCTTATCCATTGACATCCAGATATTGAAATGTGTTCTGAAATGTTTACTGCAATATATGAAGACAAATTTAGATCTTCACAATATATATGAAAATGACTATGAAGACATATAGTTGACAGTCTCAATTGCCCTCACACCTTTCATATATATGCTTTTGCATTTTGTTTTTTTAATTTTCCACTCTTCTCAAGCTGCATTCTGGCTTTGCAGTACACAACTTGTAGTCTCTGTATATATTACACAGACTCCAACAAATAACAAGAAAAACTCCCCGCATCTAATCGATTCTAACTCATAGCGACCTGATAGAATAGAGAAGAACATACCCTTTGGGTATCCTAACCTTTAAATCTTTTAAAATTGTAAAGTGACTGGTGGATTTGAACTACTGATCTTATGATTGGCAGCTCAATGTGTGACAACTAGCCACCCTGAGTCCATACCCATCTTCCCGCAGAAGGCCCTTCATACCTACTTCGTTTTCAAAAACATTTTTTGTCTTATCTTGTAACTTGTGGGTCTAGATCTCTCTCATAATTAAGATCAGGATGGTTAATTATTACATTAGTATAACTTAGTAGCTGAAGTATAGTGGAATACCATATCTAAGAAATTAGAGCTGATCCATACATACATCAATTGTGTAAAACGCATTTGTACATTCATGGCCCTTGTCAATCTCAAAACATTTCCTCTCCACTTAAGCCCCCGGAATTAGATCCTCGTTTTACCCCTCCCTCCCGCTCCCCCCTCCCTCATGAGCCCTTGATAATTTAAAAATTATTATTTTGTCATATCTTGCCCTATCTGACGTCTCCTTTCACCTACTTTTCCGTTGTCCATCCCCCAGGGAGGTGGTCACATATAGATCCTTGTAATTGGTTCCCTCTTTCCAACCCATTCTCCCTCTACCCTCCCAGAATCACCACTCACACCACTGGTCCTGTAGGGATCATCCTCCCTGGATTCCCTGGATTTCATGTATGGATTGTGATAAGAGTTGTATGAGCCCCTAATAAAAAGAAGAAGAAGAAAAAAGAAATTAGAGCTGATGCGGTCTATCCAATGAAATTCTCAGAATCAGCACCCCGAAAACTCCAGGAACAAGCCTAAAAACCAAGACAGCAGGAAAAAAACATTGTTGGCCTGTGCCTTTCAAAGTTTTCTGAAAGCACAAAGAACACAGCTTTGTGAGCAGTGACCTTTCCTTGCCATTTCCTTTCCACATGCGAGTAGAATCAGATAAGGCTGTGGTGTGCTATGTAAATCCCACTAAAAGATAGGCGTTCAGTTTGGTTTTCTTGTTGTAATCATTCCTTTTCAAAGCATCCACTGAGATAACAAAAGAATAACTAGGTTATGCTTATTTTAATCCATTCACTTTGCCTTTATGATGTCAAACTGGACACAATTCACTGAAAATTAGATAGGTAAATTCCTATTAAACCAGGTTAGAATGACTTCTGTTCTATTTCTTTAGGTATTAAGCATTTAATATATGGATGGGTATTTCAGACTGCTTAAAATGCTAATTTTTGTCATAATATTTCAATTGTGATAATTCCATTTCTACTTCAAATTGAATTCCAAATCAGCAAGACACCAATTTTGATTTCCTGTGCTTTTGACACATTGGCCATCTTTAATTTGATTACTACTTAATCTACTTACTGTCTTTAATTCCTCTCTTGATTGTGCCGTTTCATGAATTTTAAAACTTGTTTCAATAAATACTTCTATTGAGTGGACTATATTTTAAACCATTTCCATATTATTTGGTTTCATAACTAGAAAGTGAGCAAAAACTTTTCAAATGCTCTACTAACACCTTAGTGTGGGGACATAAAGAGATGGGTCAGTAATTCACCGGATTGTTTTGAGTTGTTCTTGTGGCAGCTTTGCAATGATAAGTGTGACGGAGGGCTCCCTGAACTTTGTAGATTACATGTTTGTGATAATTACTTGTATCATCATGTGTTAGGCCGATTGACTAGGAAACAAATCCAGAGGTACTCATATCCCATATATACTTGTGTATAAGCCAAGTTGTTCGGTACATTTTTGGACAGTTTTTGTGGTAAAATTAGGTGCCTCAGCTGATATTCGGGTTGGCTTATACTCGAGTGTATGTGGTATTTGTAAGAAAGAGCTTTATATCAAAGAGTAATTACATATTAAGAAAACATCCTAGCCCAGTCCAGATCAAGTCCATAGTTCGATTTTAGCCCATAAGTCCAATACTAGTCCATACATCTGTCTTCACACTCACGCAGTCACAGGCAATAATGCAGAATGCAGGAAGATCACAGGTGGGTGGGTGAAAACCCGTGTGAATCCAATGGTAGTGGAAGCATCACAGGGCCTGATCAGGTCTCCACTGCATGACTCACTCAGGTCTCAGGCAGCTCCATGTGGCTTGTTAACAGGAAGGTGAAGCAGAGAGTGTGTGGTCCACTTCCTTTGATAGAGAGAGGAAGTTTCGAAAAACCTCATGAGAAGGCCACACCCACAGGAGGCATCATCAGGCTGTAACCTGATCAAAGGCTAGATTCCACCCCTACACTTATCAAGTTAACACAATATTATGTAACTACCACAATGCATGTTTCATTAGACTAGTTATACCACTCCATCAACAACTATAATTTTAGTATAGTTTACTAAATTTTTTTCATGAAGAATATACAAATCTTTATAACTAGACCCATCAACAACACTAAAATAAATGGTGAAAAAAACGGATGTTGTCAAGGATTTAATTTTACCTGGATCAACCATCAGTGCCCATGAGAGCAATAGTTAAGAGATAAAGAATATATTCCATTTGTAGGCAAATTTGCTACAAAAGACCTTTTTAAAATCTTAAAAAGTAAAGAAGCTACTTTAATGACTAAGGTGCACCTGACCTATGCCATGTTTGTTTGTTTTGTCAATCACCTCATATGAAGGTGAAACCTGTAGTGTTGATGAATAATACTTAATCGACCAAGACTATCAAAACTCTCAAGACTATCATCAAAATAATTTAAAAGTTCTGTCTTGGAGTACAGCCAGAATATGCCTCGGAAGCCAGGATGGTGAAATTCCGTCTCCTCTTTTTAATTTAATATAATGAGCAATCAATCTCTGGAGAAGGACGTCAAAGAAATAGAAGGAAAGCCTAAATGAGATGAGTTGACACATTAGCCCAATAATGGACTCAGATACAGCAGTGATCATGAGGGTGGCATGGGAACAGGCAACACTTTGTTCTCGTAGACCAAAGTGCTCTAGTGAGTTCATGGAAAAACTATCCTTTTTTGTTTTCAGTGAACATTTTGAAATATCGTTGTGTGTAATGTCATAATGACTTAGAGCATCACCTAAACAGCATCACCACCAACAGAATAGTCTTTTTATTAGTTAAAAAAAAGCCTTTTTTTCTTAGATTTGTGGGTTATGTGGGTCATAAAAAGAAACTGCTGTGAATGATGAAACAAATCAAATACTCACCCTCTTTCCCTATTTTGCTTCCAGAATTTTCTGGCCAAAAATATTTATGAGTCTTAAAAATACAAAACAAGAAGTGCAAACTTATTTTGGAGTAACTTTTAGAGAAAAACCAATATTAGACATTTTAATGCCTCTATTTAAGTATTTTAAATTCATCTACATAAGGTATGCTAAAACTAAACCTATTTTTCCACATGATAACAAGATGAACTGAATAGCTATTGAATGAGATACTGTTTGCTTCCCTGCTGATGTAGCATGAGTAAATATACTTGGAGTATTGAATATAAATCTACTTAGTCTAAATGCTTCCAAATTGTGATGAGAGTAAATGATTTTTCTTTCATCAGAGGTGTAAAAAAATTAATTTATCAAAGAATTGATCACTTAGACTGAATTTTAGTAGTAGCTAGACTGTGAGGTTCAATTGTGAGAGTTCAGATGAGTTTATATAATTAGATTTTTTATAAACTTCAATCTCTCTTGTATGCATAACAAAATTGAAGACAATCAATTGATAGCAAATAAATGTGTCATGCAATGGCTCAGCTATTCCATTGGCTTAGAAGTCACGTAGTTTTCTGCAATGTCTAAAGTAATATGTGCTTCTTTGATAAAATTATAAGTTAAAACATGGAAGGTATGACAAACAGTACAAAACTGTGTATGTGGTTATAGAAATTATAGTAAAAACAATGAAAAATCATTGGCATACAAATATGTACCAATCATCATTCTAGCAATGTTAGCTGCAGTGTAGGGACCATTATTTTTCAAATCTCACCAGTAAGTATACTCATGGGTGCTAATGACTTTTGCAGAGATAACACAACTGGTAATGGCAGAGGCAAAATTGAACCAATGTCTATTTTAATTAAAAAATTTTGCTTTTATCCACCACATTACTTTACCTCATATCAAGATATTATTTGGCAGCTTGATGAAATGTCAATAACTTTTTATACATTTTAATTTTATTACCATGGATATGATATTAAATTTGATTGTCTATATTTTTCCATAGGTGCACATATTCAATTTCTGAATTTTTCAACTGAAGCTAACCATGACTACCTAGAAATTCAAAATGGACCGTATCACACCAGCCCGATGATTGGGCAGTTCAGTGGCATGGATCTGCCCTTAGGACTGCTGAGCACAACCCATGAGACACTCATTCACTTTTACAGTGATCATTCGCAAAACCGGCAAGGATTTAAGCTTGCTTATCAAGGTAAAATTTTTATAACTGAATTACTTTCTAATTAAATGCCTGCTTAATAAAGATATATAGGAAAAGTTTAAATCAGTGTTACCAAAGCTGATTGACATGTGAAAGAATTCAAAATATTCATTTCTTACAGTTTTTAACTGGCCTTTTATTGAGTATTATTAACTGAAGTAGAAAATGTCAAATCTAACATCATTTTATTTATCTTATTTTATTTAAATATGGCTAAGTCAATTGCTTTCCTAATTGCATATATTGGTCCCTAAACAGTTTTAGTGTGTAATAACTCAAAAAGGCATACTCTATTTTGTTCATTTTAGATGTTGTTATTAGATTGTCACTAAACATATAAATTATAAATGTAAATTTACAGATTTGAAGCCTTTTAAAGTAGAATTAGATAAGAGAAAAACAAATAATGAGTAGACTACTCACTTCCATTGAGTTGATTCCAACTTATCTCCCTCACGCATAGCCATCAAGGCGTTGCTGACAAATAGTGGCCTTGAAAGACAGGGAAGTTCTGTCTTTCTGCTGCTGTGCTACTACTGGTGGTTTTCAACTGTGGCCCAGTGGATCGCAGCCAAGTGGTAACCACTATGCCACAGGGCTCTGTGAATTCCAACTTATATGACACAGCAGAACTCCTCACAAGGGTTCCAGAGTTGTTTCTGGGGCAGAAAGCCTACTCTTTATCTCTTACAGTGGATGATGAATTAGAAATGTTGACCTTGCAGTTAGTGTAATGCCCAACTCATTAAGCAAATATATTAGTAAACATTGCCAGTGTTCCCATTATGTCTTTGATCCTTTGCTTCCATCTCAGTTTCGACTCTTCGCTCTCATAAAACAGTATTTTTTTTCTACTTGAATGGTGTATAAACTCACATATAAACATAGAAAGAATTTCAGAAAAGAAGGAGCTTTACACAACAAATCTGTGGCTATATTCGCATGGGCACAAAGTATTTGCCACTCCTGTTCATTCTATTCTCAGTATTTTCCAATCAGGTTTCAAATTCCTCATGATCACACAGGCTGATGTGCTTCTTCCATGTTGGCTTTGTTGCTTCTCAGCTACATGGCCACTTGTTTATCTTCAAGTCTTTAAGACCCCAGATGCTATATCTTTTGACAGCCAGGCACCATCAGCTTTCTTCACCACATTTGCTTATGCACCCATTTGTCTTCAGTGATTGTGTTAGGAAGGTGAGCATCATGGAATGCCAGTTTAATAGAACAAAATGTTCTTGCATTGAGGGAGTTCTTGAGTGGAGGCCCAATTTCCATCTGCTACCTTAATACTAAACCTATAAATATATGCAAATAGATCTATTTCCCCATTGGCATATAAATATAAAAATATATTTACATATGTTCATACCTGTGTTTAGACCTCTATAAATGCCCTTTGCCTCCTAGTTCTTTCCTCTATTTCCTTTTACTTTCCTCTTGTCCCACTATCATGCTCAGCCATCATTTGGGTTTCAGTAATTCCTCTCGGTTACATTGCCCTTGATCAAGACTAACTTAGGCCTTCAACACCCTCCTCATCACCAATTTTGGATCAGTTGTTGTTCCCTGGTCCCTGGGTTTGTTAGCACCCACTTCCTTTCACCCACTTCCTCCTGTCCCATGTCCCCTCAGAACCGTCAGTCCAGTTGTTTTCTCCTCCAGATTGTTTATCTAGCCTATTCTATCTAGATAGACCTGCAAAAATAATAATATGCACAAAAACAAGACAGAGCAAAACAAAACAGGCTCGGAAATCTTCAGGAGCAGTTTTACTCTATTCACCGGGTCACTGTGAGTAGGAATCAACTGGTTGTCGTGGGTGGGAAGTTTACATGGCTCAGAAAATATGATGATCAGACTTTAAAGTAGAACATAGTTTAAGAAAGAGAAAAGTAGGCATTTAGAACAACAAAACAGATGTAAATGTACAAGAAATCTGTTACATTTGCATATTTTAGCTCATTGGATACTAAGTCTAATGCTTTTGTCACTAAAGGAACACACAATATAATGTTTAAACTGCGCTGAGTAAATTTAAGAAGCCTAATTTCCCTCATGGTTTATATAACCAAGCACTCATCCACGAACTACAGAACTCTAGATGTAGACCAGAATCCAGTAACCATTTTCACTGTCTAGGCAAGAAACCTACAAGGCTTATTTCTCTGGAGTTCTGTGGCCACTCAAGTAGCTTTCCTCTGAAAACCCGTCAGGCACGCACAGCCTTCTAGGACACGTCTTGATGATCCAGATGTGTGTCTCTTGCAGATCCAGGCATAACTACTTAAACACTACCTGCTCCCATGACTTCTGATGGTCAGAATCTTCCCTATTATTTATTTAGTCAACCCATCTTTAGCATTTTCTAAGAACTTTCTTTTTGGAACAACAGGCTGATGAGAACCAAACAACCAAATGTGTCCTTGAGTATCTTGGTGAAAAGTTCCTAAAAGGCGAGAGGACATTTTCCGTTCAGAATTCTGAGGTGCTGTGCTATGAACTTAATGCTGGTGCTGCTGACACCAACCGCGCAAACACCCCGTGGGTTTCTGCTTCTACTTGTACTAAAGTCTATCAGGCGCCGAGCTAGCCCTCCCAACCACAATCGCCTATCTAGGTACCCTTCACGAGCTTCAGACTTGAAGTCCAAGCAGGGGTCGTTTCCTCAAGAAAACCCATTTGTTTTGTTTCCATATCCCTTGCCGATTTCCCTCCCCACTCTGCTCTCACGTTTTATCATTAGTTTCCATTTGTTCAGATGGCTGTCCCTGGGGGTTATGAATGTTGCTGACTGAAATGTTGTATTTTACCTAACTTGTGGAGACAAACAATTCATTTAAATAATCTCAGAGGAGAAAATTATTGGTTGATGTGAAGAGTTCAGCAATATAAATCAAATCAGAAGATTATGATGTTTGCAAGAAACATGATTCTAAGTCATTTAAATTATGTAAACATATAACCACAGTTTTAGATGTATAAATAGTGAGATAATCAGTTTAATTTCTAATATTTAATATATATCATACAGAAAATAAAAGATGCTTTGGTTACTTTCTTTTCATTCAACTAGAGAATTTCAACCACTTTGCTTTGCTATATTGGGCTTACAATACATATACACAGGAGTGATTCTTCCAATGTTTATTAAAATGTTGGATCTCTTAGGTAATTATCTAGATATGATTACATTTGACCAAGGAAGTTTATGTCCAAAGTGTTCCACATGGACGGAAGCCTGGCACAAGCTCTAGAAAGTATACAAAACTCAGATTATTTAGGATTCTGTCAGTCAAACATATTATCTTATAGATGCAATGTGATGCCATGGAAGGATTTCAAGTGAAGCAGAAGTTATTCAATATGAAAAGCATTATACGCGTTAAGAGTAAGGCAACAAATCAGTTTAAGAGCTATTGTAGGTATCGAAGAGAAATAAAGGATTCATAGCCATCACACCTTTCACACCTGCCTCTATGTTCAAATTCAAATGAAAATTTTGAATACTATTTATTTTTAATTACATGCTTCTCTTTTTGTATTTCTTTATATCTGGTCCCATCCTCTTCTTTATTCTGCCTAATTTGTAATTTCTCCCTTAAATCTCAGTTTTGAATTTATTCAAGGGGACTGCGTGACTCAGTGGTTAAGTATATTTTGCTAAGATGGAATATTTTACTCATGGCTATCATTTAAAACTTGGTTATTAATTTTTCTTAATTACCCTGTGCCTAAAATTCGGTTCAATAAGAAAAATTATATAATTATATTTCATTAATCATTAAACCACCATTTAAGTTTTTCATCTCAGTGCACAGCAAGTTCTTTTGAGAAGTCTGCTTGGTATTGAATATTTTCTCCTTGGTATTGGACATACTTTTACAGTAGTATAAATTTCATTCTTTGTTTGATACACTGTCAAATCTCAAATATAGATTTGAATTTTGCAACTATTGTTTGCCATGTATTTTTGAGAGTGTATTTTATATAATTTCTAAATAACATAATTCAAAATAAATATTATTGGGTTTTTTAAAAAATATTTTCTGAATAGGATCCAACTACTATGGGCTATATCTTCACAGCTACAAAAGTTGCAAATTAAGTCAGTGTAACAAGAATTATTTAAAAACAACAACAGCAACAAAAACACAAAATGTCTACATTGGAATGATCTAAGCCAAAAATTGTGATGTTGTTTTGCTTATACACTTCTATTTTTAAAATTACTAGTTAGTATTTAGAAAAGCCTAACTAGTAACATAAACCTACTACTTCTCTTTTTTCTCTGCCAGTATCAGAATCTGGAAATATTCAGCCAGCATTCCCTATATTAATGGGTGGGGACAGTCAGATGATGGGGCAGAATGAAGATCCTTTTTAGAGGAAAAAATTCACTTTAAGGTGTCATTTAACTCCTAGAGTGCTTTGCTTATTGATATTGCCCTCTTGACTTTGTAGGAAATTTGAATTTGTATTCAAGAGTCCTCATCTATGCAAGCATGCATTTGATTGGTTGATTTGACACATGATTCTTAATTTCAAATACATCACATTTAGCTTAAAAAAAAGTTGCCTAAACAATATTTCTGTATTTTGAACTAGAAGATCTGAGTCTGGTAAAAGTGAGAGATATAATGATAACTTCGAAAAGGATGAGAACATGAATTTAGGTTCTCTGATGGTGGTATAAAATAATATCAGACTGAAATTTGCATGTTGAGGCTTAATGAGAGCTTATCAGTGTTTGTAATTTTTAAAAAATTTATAAACTGGTAAAATGACACAACTTTCATTTGTAAGTCATGTCAACATTTCTAGGTTCTACTTGTGATTTATAAGCTAAGGATATAATTAATAACTCATAAAAAGATATATAAATCATGCAAACACTTGTCAATCTGAGTGATGTCTATGTTGTACACCTATTTCTTAAAGCTTGCCATTATTTATGGCTATATAAAGGTCAAAAATGCTACTAATAAATA